GAAAAATAATATGCTGTAAATATTCTCCTATCACATTTTTTTCTCAATCAGGAAGTTAAATTGAGTTCTTTTTGCTGTGTAAGGTTAGTTATTGTTTAAAGAAAGTCTCCAGAAACCTAAAGCAGTTGGAAAACGAAAAGGCATAAAACCCACAGAGGTTAATTTCACTTGAATTTCCTTGAGATAAATCACAACTTTCACTAATTGATGCCATTGTGGAATATATTTAAAGAAAGAGAAAATAAAAGAATAAAGCCATTGCAACAAAAAAGATGAAGATTTCACCAAAATATTTTTGTTTCATTAATGACTTCCTGAACAAAGAAGGACAGAAATAGGATGCAGGAAAAGGCTGACCTTGGTATTTGTAATGAATGCAAATGAACCCCCAAAGACTTTCTCTCAAAAAGCATAGTCCATTTACATGAGTTCTAATATTATCTTACCATCAGCCCATTAGGACTGGGAAATTCAACAATTTGCAGTAAAGTTAGGTACACTAAGTCTGCACAGGGTGTAAATACATGCACATCTTCACAGTAAATGGAAGATCATGGTAGAATGGTAAAGACTGGTAGAATTTACATATATAAATCCATAGAACTCTTGGAAAAGCAAAGCCCCCACAAGAAGAACAAGGCTATGGTGGGGAACTGCCACTAGGGTTTGGGTGTTGTTAGTGAATGATAGATGAAATCAGGATGTCACCCTGAGCAGTGTTTCATGTAAAGACCAGTGTAAAATCAGGCATGTATCGCTGTCCAGAGCTCTGTGCAGGTGAGCTGTTTTTTTTCTCAGCTAACAATGTCTCAGGTGCACCATAGTATGTCTTCAGGTCTCAAGTTCTGCTAAAAAGGAAAGCTGTGCAGATCACATGATAATTAAATGAAATTATCTTTTTTTCTTTTTGGTCTTAGAGCTCATGGATATTTTTTTGATTTTAGGAATTAGAAAACAAACTATTTCTAGCTTTGCATCTTGTCCCAGAGTCAGAAATTGCTTTTGCTTATTACAGAGGGAAAGAAAATTCAAGGGAACTTATCAGGCTGGTAATGATCATAGAATACCCACTCAAACACAACACAAATTTGTGTCTGTAAAAAATGCCTCTAGATATTTAGGCATATATTTTGTTAAGAGCAATTATGGCATCAGTCATGCTGCAATATTATCCTTAATCTTGATCCACTGACTTACAGTGACAACTAGTTATCACTTTGAAAAAAGACCAGCTCGCATGTTTAATTGCATTATGACACTAATTTACCTATGTCAAAATAGTGTGAGAATGTCAACTTGCAGTTGGCAAAGTGCTGTGAGAGTTAACAAGACATTATTTTTAATCTGTGAGCTGTTCCTACCTTTTAGTAATGGACTCTAGCAATTCTGCCCTTTCACATTGTGATTGAGTTGTCTTATCATGGCCAAAACAACTCAAACTTCATTTATAGACTGTTATTATCTACCTTGCATCCCAAGTTTACAAATAACGTTTAAAACTGAAAACTAGCTAAAGTGTGATCCCTGGACTGGAAACCCACCATTTGAGTGCATACAGAGCATGTAATGGCTTGCAATAGCAATCTTCTCTCCATCTTTTCAGTATCTCAGTGTGTCCTAGGCCTTATTCTTTTCAACTACTTCATAGAAGTGAACAGGCTTCCTGAGACCCTCTAGTTAATAAATTGAATCACTACGAAAACGTGCTGGCAACAAAAGACATACATAGAACATATACTTTCATATGAATGGATCATCGCTTAAAATTAGGAAAAATTATTTCCAGCATTAGCACTGCTCATGACAACCTATTTTGGCAGCAAAAAGATTCACAAGATATATATTTTAAAACAGAGCACAGCTCTGCCTCACATAGATTCCCTTCTCCCACCCTAGTACTTCAGTGCCTTCCAGAAGCACATTAAGCAATGTGACTAATGTCTGTCTCATCTTCATTCTTTTACTTGAAGCTGAAAAATTACATTATTTTTCAAAAGCTACCTGCAAGTTGATGAAATATCATCTTTGCAATGAACATAAAATGTTTGTTTACGTTACTGTGAAGACCATGGCAAAATTCAACCTTTGCAGAAGCACATACAGCTTCTACTGATGTAAGTGAGCAAGTGCTTAGTTATGCCAGGACACAGTTTCTATCCATAAGCACTGCAAAGCATACTACCTTCTTGATATGTGGGAAATTCGCACACTAAAACAGCAAGCAATCCTTTACAGCAGCATTCATTTTGCTGGATGGGAGTTGATTGAGAAATTAGCACATCATGGGACATCTCTTCTGTCTGGAACTAAAAAGATATCCAATTTTGTAGTTGCTGTTGATTTATTATTCTGATCCTGCATGGGGTTACTGATGCAGATAGCTCTCTTAACTGTCTTTTGTGTCAAAGTGTACAAAAGACTAACACTCCAACTTTTTAATGGCATAATTTACCTTTAGCAGTAGCTCTCAAAGACTGGAGACCTGTAAGAAGACTAAAAATTAAATAACTGTGCTGCTGCTTAAAGGACATTAGTTTTCCTACAGAATTAATATGTATGGCTTCACATTTGGGACTAGCATGAAATTTAAGCTTGTAGAGTTACTGGAAATGTTTATACCACAGTATAAATAAAGACTGTGATCAGTATGGACCACATCGTGCTGGATGCTGTACAAGCAGAGAATAAATATCTACCCCTCCCTGAAAAGTTTGGTTGGCTTCCAACAAGCTGACTGTGAGACTGCTAAATAATACACCCACACAAAGAAAGAATAAGCTAATAATCTCAGACAAGTGGAGCTGTCAGCAAACTCTGTTAAGCTTTGCTGTGACTGATTTATGCAGTGGCATGATCCTTTAAAATAAAGAGTGGGATTCCCAGTATAGCTATGGATTGTGAGGAGCCAGCGTGTGAGTTGTTTATAGCAGCCTCCCAGCATATATAGGCTGTTTTCATTCAATTGCACTGGTGGGAAAGCCTGTCTCCAGCCTTAAAACAAATTTTAATTTGAGCCCCAGGTTCTCTGCTATGTTTTTGCTTTCTGGATTTTGTGACTAGAGAATTAGATGTATTCAGCAGCGCAGTCAGTATGCATTATTTCTAGAAGAAGAAATGCTGAATGCACAAAACAGTAATCATGGTGATTTAGATGTCAAAGACACCACTAGATCGGGGCTAGCAGTGAAAACAGCTTTGTTTCACTTTTCTCTTAAACAGAAGCCTATATGTTGTAGACATCAAATTATTGCATTTGGAAACAAAATTTTTATTGTGGGTGTCTTTTTACCCCCTTTTTTTCCTTTTTTTTTTTTTTTTCTATTCCCTACCTAAACTATTTGGCAAAAGCTTATCCCTTTGCAAAAGTAATGTATTCCTTATGAAGAGCTGCAGTTTTAATGACAGTTTAGACATTTATATATTTATTAGACTATATTTTCCCTTTAATAAATGCTTTGATGTAGCATATGTACTCAGTGTTCTGTGTACACATTTCCATAATAACCTCTTTTCAGTTATCTGGGAGATCAAAGGCTGCAGCTATGTACAACTTCTGCCAAAAATAAGACATTCTTTTCTTACTGAGTCTTTGTAGACTGGTCCACAGTGTTTGGTGGGTTCTATTTTCATCTCATCACAGTTGCAAACCCCCAAATTTAGTGTCAGTTTTTTCTTACTTAGTCTTAATTTCTGTCCTGTCCTTAGCATTGCAGTGGTTCTACATTTTTATGTCGCTGTAGCCATAGCAGGGCCCTGTGTTAAAGGAGTATTCACATGATAGCATTAGCCAAGAGTGTGAGAAGTCAGCACATCCCTGCAGTTAGCACACACAGATGTGTCTGTGGGCAGTGTCCACAAATTAAGAAACTGGTATCCCAGACTTGTTGTGTGATGGATCCTGCTTCACTGCAAATCACTTAATTGCAGCCAATACATGTTTTGCCAAGGGTATTGCCATCTCTGCCTCACTGTCTGCAATGCCTCATTTACAAACCACAGGGTTCTTTTCAAAAGTGGTTTAAGAAGGTTGACAACAAGCCCTGTAAAAAGATGATATCTTCTGAAAGCCAGGAGATACTATTTCTCCTTTGGTCAGCTGGGTTTAAAGAACTGTTGTGCATGCTCAGTGAATTTTTTTTGCAAATCCTTAGTACCATATTGCAATTAAAAAATCTGAACAGAAGAGATGATTAAATATTTTTACTTTATCCCATGAGCTCAGTTTCTATCTAGTAAGAATAATTTCCACAAGCCAAAATTTAGAAATTGTTTATGGTTTAGGCCTCAGTAGATAAAAGGCATGGAAGAAATTGTCTGAAATCCTTTCAAGAAAACCTTAATGCCTGCATCTCCAAAATAAACAACTAGCACAGACTGGAATTAGCAGGATGGTTGTGATATGACTGGTGAAGGGTTCTAGCACTGCTCTTCAGTAGAGTAAAAAATTATTGAAGACACTACCATATTTTTACCATTACCTAGACATGTGACACTTTCAAGAAGGATCCTTCTCATTTCCATTCAAGTCTCTTTCAAGTTCTCTTCAAGAATATATGCAAATAAGTATTCAGATCTATTTCAAGGGTTTGCTTCTACATTGTAAAGGCTTGACCAAAGTGGAATCTGAAGTCTAAAATTATTACATTTTCAGTTAAATCATCATATTAGTGACTTTACTTTTGGCTTAGAAGATTTAGTGTAATGGCTGTGGAGGGACAGGGATTGCTATGTTCAAATAGTACATGAAGAAGTGGAACTACCCTCACTGAGGTTCTTTTGAATGGGTTTTTCTGCTCAGTGTTATAGGTTTTACATCTTTCGACCTTGATAGGGAATTCAGTTTATACTCCATTTTTCTTTACTTCCAAATTACGAATTTCACTAGTAAAGTGCTGTGGTATCAGCATATTAAGACAAATTATGATGAGTTAGAAATGCAATAAGAAGACCCTTTGTACCTTGCCGTTATGGCCAGTAACACCTGCTTGTTTTCCCTGCAGAGTTTTTCCGAGAACTTCTGGAGAACGCGGAGCGATCCTTGAACGACATGTTTGTCCGGACGTACGGCATGCTGTACATGCAGAACTCTGAGGTGTTCCAGGACCTCTTCACGGAGCTGAAGCGCTATTACACGGGAGGCAACGTGAACCTGGAGGAAATGCTGAACGACTTCTGGGCTCGGCTGCTGGAGAGGATGTTCCAACTTATAAACCCCCAGTACCATTTCAGTGAGGACTACCTGGAGTGTGTGAGCAAGTACACAGACCAGCTGAAGCCCTTTGGAGATGTGCCCAGGAAGCTGAAGGTTCAAGTGACTAGAGCGTTCATTGCTGCACGCACCTTTGTTCAGGGGCTGACAGTAGGCAGAGAGGTTGCGAACAGAGTATCCAAGGTAATCTGAAATCAGGGTGGGGTTCTTTTAGCTTAATTTGTTCTCAACCTGCCAGACAATTGAAATCTATCTTTGTGCCTTTTTTTTTTTTTTTTTTCAATACAAGGAAATGTGTTTGGTTGGTTTTTATGCCTACCAATATGCCCATCTTAAGTTCATAAATAGGGGCAACAGTTGTTTTCAGTTCCTTCTGGGGATATTGAGGCAATACTGACTGGAAGGCATTTCTCTGTGCTTAGGACACAGTGAAATACCAATATACATCAATGTTATAGCATGGTAATGATTGTCATTTGTAATTCAAAACTGGCTACATATATAAAAGATGGGGATTAGATTATAATTTAAATGTTTCAAGCAAATTTATTATGCTGTTCATTAGGAAAGCACAGCCCTCACAGCATTCATTCATCATGCAGCTGGGTGATGGATTTTGTTAGAAATGTCTAGTCATGTTTCTGATGAGAAAATAGACAAACAGTGACACCTCTGAAGCTTGAGCTTTCCCAAAGGATGGTTTGATTCACATTTATTTTAGGTTTAATTATTTATCTATGCAAATATTTATGACAATTATAGTCCTTGAGGGCTTCACATAATTAAAGAAAAAACAGTGCAAAAATAACCCATCTGGGCACCACAAATGTGCCTGAATGACTTTCTCTCACACAATATTTCAAAATCAGGTATATTTTTCTGAATTGGTGTTCCAGCTAGATAGTTGCTCTGTGATCTCGCTGTTTCACAGTCCTTGTAGTGTATTTGGACCTTGAATTCTGAACTACTCTCATGAGATCTGCTCAAATACTTCTGAACAAGTGCGTGAGTGATTTGGATGCTTGGCCCATCCAATACTTTCCCACATTTACAAGCCTAAGCCACTCCTCTGCCTCAAGAGGACTATCTCATTTCTTCATTAAAACCACAGTCAGAAGGTGAGGTAAGGCCTATACATTGTACAGTAGACTGCAACTCAAGCACTCAACAAGATGGGGCTTTTAAACTTTTCTTAACCTGTGTTATGTGATATTTTGCAATTGCAAGTTGAAGAGCCGTGGAGCTACAAATGTAGTCAGGAAGGGAGAGCCTGATTTTATGTCTAGGAGACTGCATGGGAGAAAAAGGTCATTTTGCACTTAAAATTCAGTGGATGATGTATGTGATCCTTGCTAGTCAGCTAGAACCGAAGTCTCTTCCTCCAAGTGCCTTCCTGGGCTTCAGGGTTGCCTTTCTGTGATTTCTGGCACTGTCAGTTCTGGCAGTCTTTCTGAGTGGTGGCAGGGAATCGCTCTGCGGTGCCTGGTCTAGCTGGGGCAGCTTTTCAGCCTCCAAATGTGCAGAATGCATACATCTACAGCCCCAGATTTCCTCTGAAGAGCGATGATGTCCCCATGGGTCAGGTTCTAAGTGAAAGCACAGAGCTTTGATGTCACTGTTGTCAGCAGGCATTAGGTCTTGCTGGATCAGACTGGAGAGAGTAATCTATGTAATTCATGTAATAGATGCATAATTTGTGAATCCCTCACAGATTAAGGTCTGAATTTCTGCTGAGATGTCACTTTCCCTGTGTATGTACATGACTGTACAGACTGTGCAGGTGTCTTCTCTGTCACATATCCAGGAAATGTTTTCCTCTCAGCCTCTGGGTTTTGGGTACATAAGCCCTCTGAAGAAAAGGGTTTACAAAAAGATCACTACATGATCCTATGATCCCATAATGAGAGCTGCTAGCTCTGCAGTGATACAGTGGGTCTTTTCGTAGTGTCAGTTGAAGATGATAACAGTAGCTCAATGCTAGTGTTCAGCATTCAGTGCTTCTATTGTTTTGTTTTTTTCTTGTAACATGAATGAAACACTTGAAATCATTAAAAGGGTTCAGTGGGTGGTGCAAGACACAATAGTGTCTTTATAGACACATAGTGATACTCCATTAGACTACATCTAGAAGACTGTGTTCAGGTTTTGGCCCTTCCTGCACAAAAAAGACATTGATAAATTGAAGAAAGTTCAGTGGAGGCCACCATCAGGATCTGGAGTGGATTATTTGTCCTTGAGCCTGTGGGACTGGGACTTCTTCATTCTGGAGAAGTGGCTACTTCAAGGACACGTAGCAGTTGCTCCTGGTGCCTCTAGGGAGGTCATTAAAGAAATGCAGCAAAGCTCTTCACAGTGGGGCATGGTGTGATATGATGGGCGTGAGTTGAAGCATTTCCCCTTGTCCTGTCACAGTAGGCCCTAATGAAAATCCCATTCCCATCTTCTTATAAATGTCCTTTAAGTGCTAGAAGGTTGCTAATAAGATTTGCCTGGAGCTTCTCTTCTCCAGGTTGAACAACCTCAAATCCCTCATGTCTTCATAGGAGAGGTGCTCCAGCCTTCTGACCATTTTTGTGGCCCTCCAGTACAACAGGTCCATGTCTTTCCTGTGATGCTGAGGATTCCAGAGCTAGATTTATTAATCCAGGTGGAATCTTCCAAGAGCAGAGTACAGGTGACCTGTTGGTCACATTTCTTTAGGATCATTATCCTATGATCCTATTAAAAATTAATAAAATCAAAATTTTGCTTAAATGTAGAATATACTTTGATTGCATGACTACATTTGGTATTAAAATTTTGATGCCTGTATTCATACCCACAGCATATGCAAAACAATTTCTGGCCTTAGGGATTTCTGTTACATGCAGTCTGGTGAGGCAGATATGAAGAGCCCCAAGTGGCACCAAATATTCAAGATTAATAATTGTCCTGTGGAAAGGCTCTGATTACTCTAAGGAAGAATCGTTTGTTGCATATCATAACTGTGGACTTTTATGCTGGTTTATATACTGTAGAAAATGTCAAATTCTTTTCTTAAAACATAATTTTAAAAGACTATGACCATTTTTTAGAGTTCGAACATAACTGCAGCCAAAAATGAGACAGGTAAACATCTTTTGTTGCTATTTTGAATGTCATCCAAATTCTGCACATATTTCTTTCTCATTGTACTCTAATATTGAGAGATTCTGCGATAAGAATGCCATGTCTGGATAAGTCAGAAGAAATTAATAAAGACAGAAAATGAAAGGAAGAACTGTTGCAGTTCTTCTACAAAATCCTTTGTCCATTCTCTGTTCTGGCAGGGAACAGAGGGGGATCTTCTACCTGCAACATCACAAGCTTAAAAGATTTTTTTGCTTTCTATTTGTGGACCCATTATTTCACTGAACTGCCAGTGACATAGAGAAATGTGGAGCCTACACCTTAAACACCATGAGAAAGAGAGTGACTAATGAGAAAGTTGGTAACATCTCCTTTGGGCCTTTATTGTCTCATCATCTGGACCATTTCTGTAGAGGGTTGGTGGGTCACACACAAAGGATTTGTTCCCTCTCTAATGTCAGGGACATATCCTTTCTAATTTTTCCTCAGAGAGGTTGTAGTGTCTTAAAACAATGCAGTTGGTGTATTCTTTGCAAAGGAGCTACAATTCCTTTTTTTCAATGAGCTGTGCACTCAAGCACACTCAAAGGAGGCAACACATCGCAAATATTTTCCTCTTACAATAGGATTTTGCTGTTGAGTAATTTGCTTGCCAGTGGGATTATAATTTAGTAAATCACACTTAGATAAATGGGGAGGGAGGTGGTTAGGACATCTTATTTTTGTAATTTTTTTCTAATATTATATTTCAGTTGCAAGCAGACACAGTTGCTTCCATCTGCCTGAAGTTTTATTACGCTGTTTTAGTTGAACAGTATTTTCATGATCTCTAAGTCTAATTACAATTTTTAATCTTCAGAGATTTTTAAATCTTTTTATTTCTCATTCTAATGCATTAAATTTCTCAGTGCTATGTTCCTATGCTGCTTAAATCTTCACTCAGTGCAGTTTTTCACTGGCTTGAATGGACTGGCTTGCTAAATTATATATATGTTCCAGAAAGTTGTATAGGCATATGAGCAAAAAGTAATTATTTCTTAAACTGAGGATATTATCTCTTAATTTAAATCAATTTATTCATTAATATAGAAGAATTCCTAAAATATCTCAAGTTGAAAGGGCCCTGTAAAGATCATTGAGTCCAACTCCTTGCTGCTTGCAGGACTAACTAGAAATAAATGATATGACTAAAAGCTCTATCCAGATGCTTCTTCAGCTCTGACAGGCTTGGCTCCATGACCTCTTTCCTGGGGAGACTGTTCCAGTTACCAGCCATCCTCTCTTGAAGAACCTTTTCCTGATGTCCAATCTGCACTTGCCCTGATGCAGGTTCAATATGTAATATTCAATATGCAACATCAGAACTGCCATTTTTGGTATGTTAAAGGTCTGTTTAGTTGATTTTACCTCAGTGACAGTAGTTTAAAGGTCAGTATAGGAGCAGAGCTTCTCAAATACTATACTTTCTTAAGCTGTAGCTAGTAGATGTTTATGGACATTTTGAACTACAGTTTCAGAAATAATTAGTTAAATTTTCTACTACCCTTTTTTCAGTACTTTTTTAGATTCTAAAAACTGGCTTTTCTGTTTTGATATCATTTGGTTAAAAAAAAATAGTTCTGTCCTTCCTTGTTCCTCTGTAAAAATATAGCATATTAACATGTTACTGTTATTAAATTTGCTTGTTTTCAACTATTTTCCTAGATAAAATAAATAAATAAGTAAATAAAACAAAACCAAACAAACAAACAAAAAAAAAACCAAAAAAAACCACCAAAAAAAAAAAACACCCAACAACAAAAACCAAGCCTTCCTGGCAAACTGTGATTTAGTATCTAATGTTAAGCTGGAGAAGCTGCTGAAAATATTTCTGTAGTTGCTTTTAGCTGCGATTACCAATAATGTGATAGAAAAGACATATGCATACTTTTCATGTTCATTTTTTCTGTGTCTGAGCTCTGGACACTTTGTGAGAAAATAATGCTAAGTTATTCTCTCTGACTCCAAACAAAGCATTCTCAGTTATGGCAGTAATCCCTTTGAACTGTCACCGAGTGGTGGAAGGTGTAAAAACA